GGCCTGCTGTCTTCATCCAGCTCTACACCTTGTTACCTAACTATTCTAATCCCTTTTCCAGTAGTTCTGAGGAAGGGTTGCTGGACCCAAAACGTTAACTCTGCTTTACCTCCAAAGGTGCTGCTAGACCTGCTGAGCTTTTCCAGTAATTTCTGTTTTTGTTCCTGATTTTCAGCATCTGCAGTTATTTCAGTTTTTATTTCCCATATTCCAGCGTTTGCCCATTGCTTTGTATGCCTTGACATTTCAAGTACATAGCTAAATACGTCTTCAATGTTCTGAGGGTTTCTGTCTCTCCCATCCTTACAGGCAGTGAGTTCCAGATTCCCACCACCCTCTGGGTGAAAAGGTTTTCGTCACATCTCCTGTAAACCTTCTGCTCCTTGACTTTAAGCTGTGCCCCTCAGTCATTGAACCCTCCATCAAGAGGAATTTGTTCCTATATTCTGTTCTACTCATAGTTTTATCATCTCAGGTGGAAATGATCTAAAACGGGAATGGAAGAGTTTCTGAGGCCATTGGCAGCAGATGCTGCAGATGATGCTGGGCACACAGTGAGATGGCCGATAATGAGGCTCATGTCTCCATCATCCGTTCACTCTCATACTCAATCTGGGCAGCAACTTGGTGAACACACCACACCAGCTGAGGGGCCACCTAATGTCATTGAGAAGAGAGTGCCTGCAGCTCTCCAACAGCCTTTCCACCCCAGATGCACATCGAGCACTCAATTTCTCACAGCCATAGCCCACCATGCCCTCCAATGCAGTTCAGCACACCCCCCATCAATTCACCTTGAGTCTCCCCGTTGACACCATTCTGATCCCCTTGGAAATGCTTCTGCTTTCCCCTGACTACTGCTGACCAGTGCCCACTCACTGCAGTGTATCCCCGTGACAGTGACCAGCTCAAGGAGGAGACTGACTGTGACTAAGACCCTGTCTGTGTGTGTACCATGCCTGTGAGTGATGTTGCCAGCTCCCCCAACCACTATCCCCATCCCCCCTCCCCGACCGGACTTAGGACTCACACCCTCCAGTTTCAGACGTAGCCATTTGGTTGGATGAAGGTGCAGCGTGTTTGCCGTGCAGACTGCAGGCTGTGGGTGTGAGACTGACATCTCAGTGTGCTGTTCACCAACATAATCCCCCGCCCCCCCACTACCCCGAGCGAGAGAGCTCTCTCATGACCAGCATCCTGTCTGTGTCTCTGCACCAAAGAACACCTCAGATTGACAGGAATGAGAGTTGTTGGCCTTGGCTGAAGCACCAGTGATCCAGCGTGGCAATGCAGTGACTCTGTGAGAAAGCAGATGGGCGCTGACTGAATGAGTGCTCAGAGAGTCAGTGAGCAGTGTTGGGATGTAGCCTGGTCCACACTGTGAGCTGAGTGCCTGGTCCTGCCCACACTGTTCCTGCAATATCTCCTTGGTGACCTGCCAGGGTGGCAGTGATGTCCCACAATGGCTGATGAAGGGTTTGTGTAGTTAGTGCCCATGGATTGCCTTGGGATTTTAGTGCCCAATATCCAACATAGGGGTCATTCAGACCAATGGCTTCCTTGTTGAGGTTTCTTGACATTGGACTTGTTGTGATGACTTTGGTAGATGGGAAGCTGTGTCCTAAAGAGGCGAGTCGGGCTCTTCACAAGGCCTTTAACAAGTAATTATCACTGTCAATTGGCAACTGGTTGCTGCCTTGTGTGAATCTCACCCCATTCCTTGTGAAAAGCATCAAAGATGGAGCAACACGTTGTGATGGGAGTCACTGAAATTATTATCTGATGCTACCGCACACCACCACAGACCCCAATCAAATCCCACTCTGTCTTTTCTGTTATAATGGGTATTATTATACAATTTGAGTTTAATAGCATAACTTTACGAAGTATTAATAAGAATAATTTGCTCCTCGTTGGGGGTGAGGTGCCTAAGGGGTCCGCCTGGGTGCTGTCCTGGGTTGACTGTCTTCTCCTGGAATGATAAAAAGGGAGGGATTGTGTGAGCCGGAAGTGGATGTTGGGGCTGTTAGTGCTGGGGCAGGTGGGTAAAAGGTGGTGATTCGCCCTGAAGGAGGCAGCACAGAGGGCAGCCAGGGGTTTGGGAGGGCAAGGGGTTGGTGTTGGGAGTGAGGGGAGAGGGGGAAGCGGGGCGGTGTGGATGCTACAGGCAGCAGTGAGAGCTGTGGTGGGAGCTGAGTGAGTGTGAGGAGTCAGAGAGAAGTGTGTGGGACTGACCCTCTCAGAGCAGACAAGGTCATTGAGCTTCCCATTGCCCATGCCCCCCCACCCCCATGCAGACAGCATTGACCCGAGTGGTGACCTGGTTCATTTTTATCCTTGTTCCCAGACACCAACGTTAAACTGTAATTCTGTATTTACCGCAGTAATTCTCAGGTTTATTCTCATTTTTTTTGAACACGGGAATAATATTCGTAATTCTCCACCCCTTGTCTGAGGGAATCCTGGTAATTATATCCTCGCTGTTTTTTTTTTCATTTAACCTATTTTCTAATCAACCTGTTCAGAGATGTAATTGTATACCTCTGGAACAGGTGGGATTTGAACCTTGGCCTCCTGGTCCAGGACTAGGGACACTACGACTGTGCCACAAGAGGGTCCTTTCTTCTTTTATTTCTCTCCAAAGCTCTGGATGTGTTTCACCTGGTCCTGGTAACTTGTTAACTTTATGTACAGCCTTTCAAATATTTTTTAACAAATTTAACCCCATCAAGTGGCTCCTCTTTCCCTGTGACATAGGGAGTAGCTTCTGCCTTGCTTAAGACTGGCGTAAAGTACCCTTTAGTACCTTCGCCCAGCCTCACAGTTCCCTGTATATGTCCATCATCACTACATCTTCCTTCTATTTCTTTTCCTCTACCATTCTTGTGTCATTCCACTCAACCCCTGGGTTTGAACCTGTGACCTATATAACATTTTGTTGCAGGGATATTAAGGCGCTACGTTACCAAGTTGGTTATTGAGACACCATCAATGCTGCAAAACACCTTGCATCACTCATACAAACAGGCCCAGACGAAACTGGGAGATAAAGTGAGAGCAGAACGCCTTACCCTCCTCGCTGCACTACACTCAATCCTCCTTCACCGACAGCACTACAGGAACTGGGCTCAGGCACACTCCTATAACTGGTAAGTCACTCGTGGACTCAGAGAATACATGAGCTTTGTTCCAAAGCTCTCCAAGAATCTTCATCCTCAATTCCACCTTCCAACCTCCCCACCACTCCCCCAAACACACACGCCCCTCCCCATTCTCTTGATTGTCTCCTGTAGACCAGGTAAAGCAGGGTCTGCACTGTTCTGGAATGGGCCTATCCAAGGTCTAGGGTAAGAAGATAATTGATCAAAGTTATGCGGTGTGCGGTTCAGCTGCTGACCCAATGGGCTGAATGGCCACTTTCTGTGCTGCACCAGTCTGATTTGACATTTCCTGCCACAGGACACAGGCAGATTTATTTGCTGCCCTTCAAACTCAGGTGAAACTACAAACAACCTGGGACGACTCAGGCTCTCTGCTCGAACTTCTCATCGGTAAGAATTTTCTTTATATTCACTCGTGGGATGTGAGCTGAACAACAAATTGCATTGATATAGCACCTTTAATGGTGGTGAGTTACTGCAGCGAATCTTGTCAATGGTAGACACTGCTGCTAATGAGTGCCGGTGGTGAAGGGAGCAGATGTTGACGGTGGTGGCTGGAGTGATCATCATGTGGATTGTGAAGCCAACACTGTAATCACTTAACAAGGCAGGGTCTATTCCCCGAGACCAGGACAAACCGGGGATTTCACAAGTAAAGTCATCAAACTGAATATGACACTGAGACGTCAAGTGAGGAATCAGAACAGGAGACCAAAAGTTGGGTTAATTGATTCAGTTTTGAGAAGTATCTGAAAGAAGGGGAGACGAGAGAGAGAGAGAGAAGTGGAAAGTTTTAGGGAGAGAAGTGCACAGCCAACTAACAGTCCAGGGATGGACAATGAATCCTGGCCCGGTCAGTGAAACCCTCATCCGATGAATCAATAATAATTAAACAACAGAGGAAACAGATTCACAATAAGTGCCAGAAAGCAGGAGGGAAATGAGAAGAAATTACTTTCCACAGCGATTTGTTGTGGTCTGGGGCACATTGTTTGAAAGGGAGGTGAAAACTTTCAACAAGAGCTTCCAAAGAAAATTGAGGAAACACTTGAAGGGGAAATAGATTTCAGAATTACGAGGGGAACGGGATTAATTGAATGGATCTTTCACACAGCTAACACAGACTCAACAGGCCAATAGATCCTCCTAAGGATTTTGAGAAGATTTGTAGCTCAGATTGTTGATGCAGTTGTTGACTTGCTCACCAAGCTGGGAAGTTCGTTTGCAAACGTTTCGTCACAATGTTAGGAAACATCATCAGTGCACCTCCACTGAAGTGTCAGTGTTCTGTCCCGCTTGTTGTTATGTGTCTCAGTTTGTTGGGGTGGGTGACGTCATAACTGGAATTATTTCTTCGTGGTTGGTTTATGGGGTCCAACTCTACATGTTTATTAATGGAGTTCCAGTTTGAGTGCCAGGAATTCTCATGCGTGTCTTTGCTTGGCTTGTCCTTGGATGGCTATGGTGTCCCTCTTTGTCATGTGTATTGAAATGAGCGATAGTCGGTTATGTCTATTGGTAGCTAGTTGGTCCTGGTGAATCCTGATGGCTAGTTTCCTTCTGGTTTGCGCTATGTAATGTTTATGGCAGCCTGTGCTTGGTATCTTGTAAATAACGTTGGTTAACATTGGAAATGATTCCACCCACCCCAACAAACCAAGACACATAAATAACAAGTGGGACAGAACACTGATGATGTTACCTAATATGGTGACGAATCATTGGCAAACAAACTTACCAGCTCAGTGAGCAAGTCAACAACCGAATAGATCCTCTTCCTGTTCCGTATTAATCTGTGACATAAAGGGAGACCTGCATTTATATAACACTTTTCATAACCTCAGGTTGTCCTGAATTGGTTTTGAGGTCAGGGGAAATGCAGCAGCCAGTTTGCACAGAGTAAAATCCCACCAATACTGACGGCAGTTTACAGACCAGATCATCTGTTTAGTGCCACTGATTAAGGGAGAAAGATTGGCCCCTGCTCTTTTCACAAGTACCCCGCATCATGACCCTACTCTCTGATCTGCACAACTTGCTGAGTTAAAGCGAGATGTAATTTCTTTTTTACCTTTTCTTTCCAGGTGTGACTGCATATAGTGGTCACCTGTTAGACAGAGGGGATCAGACAGCACTGGACAGCATTATTAACCACTGCCTGAGGAGTTCCAAGGGCCAGTCCAGCAAGGGAATTCGTAGCCTCATTACATTACTTGTTGGCACCAAAGGTAACAAATCCAGCAACCATTAGCTTCAGTCCTTTAGAATCATTGACTTGTTACAGTGCACAGTGAGGCCATTTGGCCCATCTTGTCTGCACCAGCTGTCCAAATGAGCATCTCACTTAATGCCATTCTGCTGCCTGCTTGCTTTAACACTGCATATTGCTGCCTTTCGAACAACCATCCAATTTCCTTACAAAAACCTCAAATGAACCTGCTCCCCCCACACTCTCAGACAGTACATTCCAGTCCCTAACCACTCAAGTGAATCTGCCTCTTTCACCCAAATGGCATTACATGATATAATCAATTTGGAGTAAAAGAAATGGGTATTTCTTTAGTTACTTATGTATCCCTTCAATTGATCAAACTGCCAACCCTATCAAAGCCATTGTCCAATTGTGGAATTTGGCATGAGCCTGTCTTTGTGACTGCATTCACCATATTTCTGTGATTGATACAGGATCTAGTTCACCCGGCCAGTTTAAGAATTAACACTATGCTGCTTTGACCAAGTTCAGTCAAGATGGTTTTTTTCACCTGAGCCTGTTTCTCTGGGCCCAGCTGACAAGGATGTTGTTTTCTTGGTTCTGATTCTCCTACATCCACATCACATCTACCTAATATAGTACACTCTAACGAACCTCTGCAGATCGCCTCATACTTTCTCAGTGGTCTTACAATTTACTTTAATTGGCCTTTCTCTAAATTTGAAAACATAATGCCATTTTAATTTGTGTGTTTTTTTTAAACTATGGCCTGAAACAAGAAAGAGTTGCTTTAAAAGCAGTGTTTGTTTTGAAAGCAAACAACCTGAAATCAATTGCAGGCATCATGTAAACATTGTGCTGAACAAGCAGTAATAACAGCTGGATTGAAGAATGAAGGGGAATCTCACAGAAACCTCTAAAATTCTAACAAGACTAAACATAGTAAACAAGGAAGGATGGTCCCGATGACCAGGGAGTCCAGAACGAAGGGGTCACAGTTTAAGGAAAGGGAGTAGGCCATTTAGGACTGAGCTGAGTAAAAATGTGAGTGGGGAGCCTGTGGAATTCACTGCCACAGAAAGCGGAGAATGTTTTCAAGAAGGAGTTGGGGTATAGTTCTTAGGGCTAAAGAGATCAAAGGATATGGGGGAAAAGTGGGAACAGGGGACTGAGTTGGATGATCAGCCATGATTATATTGAAAGGGCTGAATGGCCCACTCCTGCTCCTGTTTTCCATGTGTTTATGCTGTTTGCAAGTTTCAATTCTTTGGTCCTCGATATGGATTCTTATTAAAGAAGGCAGTGAGGCTTTGAATTCCTCTAAGAAAATAACCAAAGAGCTTCTAACGTTCGTATCCATCTGTCAAAATTACTTTGCTTAACGCTTTCACATAGACGAGGTGAATGGGCAAATCTGTAGCAGATAGAGTTTAATGTAAGCAAGTGTGAGGCTATCCTTTTGGGCTGAGAAAGGACAGGTCAGTGTAGTTTCTAGGTAATGTGAAGGTAAATACAGTGGATGTCCATTGAGACTTGAGGGTTCAGGTGTGTAGATCTTTAAAATGTCACAAACAGGTACAGAAAATAATCAAAAAGATTAATGGGGTCAATACAGTGTGGAGCTGGAGGAACACAGCAGGTCAGGCAGCATC